AAAAAATGAAGACTATTAATACTGCATTAACTCGGGACTCTTCCATTCCTTGTTCCTGCAGCAGAAAATAATAATAATAATAATAATGGTGATGATGATGATGATGATAATGATAATGGTAACAATAATAATGATCATGATATTATTGGTGGTGGTGATGAAGCGGTTCTACGGCATCACAAAAAGTCGCAGTGTTCTTACCATAGTAATTAGTTAAGTAACAAATACATGTAAATAAGCTTAATCACTAAAATGATTAATAACGGTGATATTTTTTGTGAATTTTAGCTGATGAAGATGACGATGGAGCTGTTAACAAGCTTGACTGGGAAGCATTTCTTTTTAGTCTTGTTTCCCCTCGTGGTGCCACACCCATTCAGTTAAAGGTAAAGGAGAATGCAAATAAAGCAATATATTGCAGTACTAAATATGGTCCAAGATTTGGCGGGAGTGGTTACACCAATGATGACTTGATTATACGTGGATATCCCAACACTCAGCAATGTACCGTCAGTCTTGGAGGCACTTTTGGGTACCCTGAAGACCTCTCTTCAAACTTTCTTACCGGTAGCGAGAACTTTAATGTCTCTGAAATGGAGGTGTTTGGACTTAATTAAACTCATGCATATAATGGTTTACCAATAAAAGAACGACAGTATGACCAATGATTGAAGAGGACTGGCTTTCTTGCTTCAGATAAATTACAAGCTCATTCACTAGCTAGTGATGTATTGCTGAATTTTCGTATAACTGCTTCTATCACTGAAAAATAAACCTTTTCCTGGAGGACAGGATGTACGATTGCTTTATTTAGCGTGTTGCTCTGTGTTTCTTAAATTAGTACTTTATACCTTGAGAATATGTGGACCGCATAGCACTTATGAAATACATAAAGATATAGAAATATAGATAAGTTATAGTGCTTGGGAACGAGGTTATATTCTCATCTTTGCATCACAATTACCGCTACCTAACTATAACTTATCTATATTTCTATATCTTCATGTATTTCATAAGTGCTATGCAGTCCACATATTCTCATCTTTGCATCACAATTACCGCTAACTAACATCTATTTCACCCCGGCCTGCTCTCAGTCTGACCTCTAGCTCAGCTGGTAGAGCATCGGTAGTACAATTCCGAAGGTCGTGGGTTCGATTCCCAGTGAGGAATTTAATTCCAAGGGCTTTCGCCCGGAATAACCTCGTTTCCAAGCACTATAACTTATCTATATTTCTATACTTTATACCTTATTCAGTTTGAAAAATTCGGTACTCGATAATCAACCAGTTATACGATAGACATATAGATTTAAGTATATCTGCATCCCCTCCTACGAAAAAGAAACTAAATGTCTCTTTTTTCGTTTCAAGGCATCCAGCGAACCAAAACATTTGTTCGTTCTCAGCAAAACGTTTTTAATCCAATCTTCGATCGTATTCTCATCTGGCTCTAAACTCCAAGTCCTACAATCTTCAATCTTATGGTCTACGTTCTTTTACTGTTGCTGCCCCTAAACTTTGGAACATGCTCCCGTCATCAATAAGAGACACTACTAATTTGGCTTCATTCA